AAAGCAAGAGTCTCTCAACTGATTCTAATGATTATTTCTTAACCTTGCTCTGCTCTCCACGCTTATCGATTCTTTGGGTTGAGAGGAAACACGATGCGCAAAATTTGGACTTCAGTGCAGTTTGAGGCATCACTTTTGTAAAGCGCTGCTTTCGTGATCGAAGGGCAATATCAGGGAAACAATATTCTCAGTAATAACGGGTACCACACGATTATTATGGCGCAGTCCCTACATATTCAAAGCGAAGTCATTTTGTTATAGTAAGGTTACAGTGAAGTTATAGCGACGGATAGCAGAATGAGACAGAAACAACATGCCCTTACGTGAAAGTACTTCAGAGGCTTAGATGACACGCTTTAGATGACTATACCAGCCTCGAAAGTTCCGAAGAGCGCGGTCAAAAAAACATTTCACCAGTCAAAAAAACATTTCACATTTTTTCATCTACATCTTTTTAAGTCAGGAAAAAAAGTAAGTGAACACTAACATGACACATCAATCCACATTGATGAGCGGCTTGTCCCGACGGAGTTCGTCGCTTGACATGTGTACTCGGTTCGATGATCTTCCATTTTCAAGGTTTCGAGAAAAAGCGTCTAAATGTAAGATTTTTTTCACACTGAGATTAAATGGTGATCGAGTTGAACTCACATCAGTTGTATGCGGAAGTAGCTGATTACCATTCTTATACCATGCAATTCGAATATTATCCAATGGCTTAGCGTCTACATTACAGGCGAGAAAAGCTGAACCACCTTCTCGAAGTTTCTGATGAGAAGCAAGCGAGAGATTCACTCTTGGTGCATACTGTAGCATAAGCTTGACGGAGTCGCACTCGCTCTAAATTAGTGAGAGTTGACAAATAATAATTATTCTTTAAGTATGGAAAGTATGATATATCAGCAATCCTGCTAATGTTTGTTACCGATATACTGGGTTGTTTCAAAATTCTACCCGTTTCTGAAGCTCAAATTTGAATAAACTAACTTTTTTTTAAGAATGGTCATTGCGAATGAGATAAAGTGTGCATCTACAAATTGGAATTCACTGCACTCAGAAATAATTGTAGCAAAAACGAGAAATGACGATACTTCCTAGATATCTTCTTTTACAAATCTCTGCTTTGAGAACCATAACTCGATTAGGAGTTTAGTAGTAAAATTGCCCAGGCACTGCTCATTGTGTAGTCATGGCTGAGCACTACTGCTAAGCAATACACCGATTTAAAAAAATTTGCAAAAAAGTCAAAAGATCCACTTATTAGGCTCTCGCCAAGGGTGGCACTTTTTTGAATTTTTTGAATTTTGTTCCGCTGACGACTGAGAAAGTGTTTTCGTTTGTCCACTTACAAGACGTAATCTCATCATACAAAACAAAGGTTCTATGATCGCATTGCGCTCATGACTTTTAAGAGACTTATAAGCAAAGGACAGGTTGTGCTCATGCTAAGAACTTGTAGGTTTAAAATTCTGAAAATATGTCGATAAGCATTTTCTAACATGTCTCCAGTAAATTACGTTTGATTTGAAAATTCCCCCTCTGGCTGTAGAATTTACGGCAGTAAAGCAAAAAGGAAAATGCGCAGTTTGTTTGCTGTCCTTTCAGGTGCAGAACTCCAGAATGAAAAACTTCCATGAAAGCGAAAGTATGCACGGATGATTGGAAGGAAAGAGCTTTCAAACAATGTAAGAATAAATCGCGTAGTACTGAATGCAACCGGATAGTGTCTGTATTTCACTAAGCCAAAATCGTTCCAGTTTAGTAGGAATCATTTAGCAGAATAGGTCTGTTGTTTTACAAACGATTGATACGAACTGATATCGCAGATTTCAATGAGCAGATAACCCATACAAGGTAAAAGTACGTCGGTTTTTGGTTGAACTATCGCATGCAGTAATAACAAATTCTCGAAGAGGATTCAAATTTGGCTATCTCACAGTTTCATGTGATGATTTAGCTTCACATCCTTCAAAATTCAACTTCGTCCTATTTTTGCATAGCTCAATAACAAGAATTGAGCTTTCAATAACAATTCTAAAAATAGTAAAGAAAGCGCGATATAGTGGAAAATTCTCTTTTGCTAGACTCCATCTTCTTTCCTAAGGGTTTCAAGAAAAATCATTAGCGAGCAAAGTGACAAGTGACAAATCAGTTGAGGCAGTCCTTCCAGTTTTGAAATTTTTTTCTCAGAATATAAAAATTCTGATAGAAATGGGTGGAAAACCGCATCATACACAGCTCGAATCGTTGCCTCTGAATGTTCCACGAATTTCACAGCTAACCTTATACAGAAAAACTTTGGCAACGACCTAACACCCGTTTCGGCGGTCTGAAGAAATCTTTAGTGACAAATCAGTAAGGTCGGATCCATACGACAGAACGTCTACTGCCAATCGTAGTCCTTTTTGTCACATTAGAGGGTGCTCCTTGAACTCTGGTGCGACCCTTGAACATAACCTGTCTTATGTGCTACTAAATATTCGCGACCCTTCAAACAAATATTAGAAAGAAAGTTCTTGTTGATCACAAGAAATGTCTCCATTAGTAGTTGGTAACATAATTCTACCATATGTGTATGCCTGTGGGGTTAATAGGGAATTTACTGCATACAGGCTGTTATACCCTGCACCAAATTTGAATGAGATATACCAAAATTCTTATGATTATAAAAGTTTTTTCGCATTGAAACTCATCCGTAACACCTTAACAATTGGCGCGATACAACCTCAACAACAACCAAATGAGATTATTACTTTGGAACGCAAGTCTTGCACGACAATTCTAGAAGATTCGTCTATATTGTCTAGGTAGCGTTTTGACTCCTGTTGTACTTTTATTGTGGTATACGTTAGCCATTTATTTTGAACAAAATCCCCGTTTGATAAGAGACTAGAGCATGCAATTTTTTATAAACGTCGGATCAGGGAATTTATTACAGAAGAGCAGGTGATGAAAAAGAAAGTAAAATCACAACTTTGAAAATAAAATTCTAATAACAGAATTCATATATACAATTCAAGCGTTTCTTCATCAGCACTTATTAGAGTGATATGAAGGCAATAGTTTCTGCTTTGAGCACTATTAGAAAGCGCAAATTATTTTCGCATCTTTGAGGGATTTCGAATTCGGTGCAAAAAAGACTTATCTTTCAATCTGATAGAAAGAGCGCAAATTTCGACGGCGTGTTTGATTTCACTTTTGAAAACTTGTAACTTATCACTATCTCAACGGATTTGCTTGAAAACATTCCATTGATAGGCATAATTCATGTTCGCTGCTATGTAGGCTTGCAAATGGATACTGTATCAAGAAACATGATAAGAGTACTCAAACTCTGCTTCTAATTCAGTCGCTAAAAATCTAAAATAATGGAAACGAGATTCAGAGTTTAGTACACGGGTTGTTCGACCTGTTGTTTCTAGCCAAGTAAAGTTACGCGAACCGCTATAAAGCTTGAGCCAACATCTCTACATAGTTACGATTTTTGAGTAAAAAATGTCGATTTCTTCTGCTGGTTTGTACCTCATGAAACATAACTCAAAGACGTCTGAGAGAGCTTTTCTTACGAAATCTATGCACTAAAATTCAGGATTTTTTCTCACTGTTTCAGATATCTGACAACCTCACATGAAATTAGCAACGCTTAGTTGACCTTCTTCCATATTTATCTCTGTAATAATGTAATGGTAGATGATCTTTGATGTATTATTCTAAAAAGACACAACTTTCGCTTTCCCACGAAGTTATTTTCTAGCAAAACCGCCTAGAAGATAGCGAACTCGTAAAAAAGGAACGAATGTATGTTTCGAAACGACTTGATAGAATATGACAAACTAAGGAAATTTTAAAATCTAGATCTATTAGGTTCTTAATTCCTGCACCAAAATAGGTACAGACCGCAATAACACA